CTGTGCACTTTAAAAAAAAAAAATAGTTGGAAGCATTGAGCTAGAAACAAAACAGCCAATTGAACAATGCTGTTTGTTTGTTTCTAGTTCATAGTTCATAATCAATTTGTTGACAATTTACAGTTGTTATAGTTTTACAACTGTTTGTTTTGTTCCTACTTGAAAATCGTTTTCATTTTACAGTTACAACTGAAATATAGGACAAAAGCAGAGCAGACGAACTACAACTTCCAAAACAAAAAAAACAAAAACGTGAGCTGGCGTTTTACAGTTACGCCAGCTAGAATGAGCAGTTCAAAAGCTGACGTCATCACCTCGCTTGGTGTAAAACTGTTCAAATGATACATCAACAACATCTATAACTGTAAACAAAGAAATTAACCTACAAAATCCAGTACTCATGTAAATGTTCTTACTATAATATAGAGAAATCAAGTCTACCACGTATACCACATAAATACTAAAAAACAATTAAAATCTTCAACTCATTATTCACATAAGGACATAAAAATGGCACACATATATTTAATCCGAATACGACGGAGTAATCAACGTCGTTAATAAATCTTCAGCATGTTACAATTTTTGCTTCGCAACCCAAAACGATTTCGTCGCCTCTTGTTTTTTTTTAGAACGAGTTTGCATTATAACCACGCAAATACATTCACAGTCGTAACTGGATTCTGGAGGGAAACGACACTACCAAGCCGGAACTCGGGTGCCCTCCCCTGACCGTGTCTACGGTGGTCGGTGGAAAGTCTTGGGGTCTTGCCATATGGATAGGAAGCCCGCCTTCCACGTGGCTTGCTCCCCCGCCTCACAGATCCTCGCAACCACCGCCTTCTCATCGCTTGCCAGGCCGCCCCATGGGTCACGTGGCTGACCCCTGACGCTACCCGTTGCTGCCTTCCTCAGCTTCCCCGCCGTGTAAACCCTCGCATGGCGCATGAAGTCATAGATAGCCGCCCGTGCCACCTTCCTTTTCTGGAACCTCTCCTTCCAGTACACCGCATCCACCCTGGCCAACCAGATCCTTCTCATCGTCACCGCTGTCAGGGTCGCTCCCGGAAAGCTGGACTTTGTGGCCCCCTCCTGAAATAGCATGTCGCCTAGCGACCTCGTCTGATCCGTCGGGTCCATGACATGCAGCGATCTCAGCAGCGCGCCGATCACCGGCTGGATGACCGGGCAGGTGAGCATACAGTGAACTAGGGTTTCAGGCTCTCCACAGTGCGGGCAGCAGCCCCTGGGCCCCAGGAAAACCAGTCTTTCCCCCACCTGTAGGTTCTTGCTGTGCATCCTCAGCACCACATCTCGCGCTCTGTAAGGGATTACAAGGGAGTCTCTCCTTTCCCTGACTGCTTTCCAATCGATTTTCTTCCCCCACTCGTCTTCCCACTCGTGTCGCCGCCTCGATGCCGTCGTTGGTCCCGCCAGCGCCCTCCTAATCTCCTTAGGTGCACCCGGTCTCAAGTTTTCATCCACCAGCGAGGTCTGACATAGCTTGGCCCTCGGCTCGCCCATGGCACCGAGTACACTTCCTCCCTTGACTGCCACCGGCGCCACACTCCGGACTGGAAATTCGACTGCGTAGGGTCGAAGCGGCGCGACCAGTTTAACGCCGTCTTAGCAGTCCAAGTGGTCCGTCGCCACCTCCCCATCTTTAACTCCCCGCACCGTCCAGTAAAGGAACTCTTGCGTGCGCGTCAGCACCGTACGTATTACCCTTGCCGCTGCCACCACTGCCTCCGCTGACCTTGGCGCCTCTACCATGAGCTTCCACCCAGCCGGGATTGCTTCATAAGCTTTCTTGGCCCATCTTGCAGTCACCACACTCCCGAATTTTTCCTTCAAAGCCCTAACCTCCTTGATGCCTCTGCCCCCGTCCTCCCTGGTGATGAGCAGGTCCCCGATCTTTACTGTCCTGATCCCAGCCACCCCCTGCCGGTTCCCGAAGGGGCTTTCTCCTCGGAACATGATGCGCCTGTTAAAACAGAGCTGCTCCTTCTCCACTTCCCAGGCATTCGACGGCTCCGGGAGGTCTGCAAAAGGGGAATCCCATAACACCTCTGCAATCGCCTTCCATCTCCGGCTTCCTTTGTCCCAGTGCCTGCCGGCTGACTTGTGGGCGAAGAAAGTCGCCACCCCCAGTGGCAGCGCCGCTGCCTTCTCCGTCAACCATCGCTTTGTGACATCCTGCTCAGTCAGAAATTTGCCCACCTGGCGAATTGCCAAGCTGTCTAGCCGCTCCTTTGGGTCGATTAGCCCCAGCCCCCCTTCTTTCTTTGGTAGTCGGGCCAGCTCCCCACTCCAGAGGACAAAAATCTTTTCCGCCGTTGCCTCCCCTTTTGAGATGTAGTTGTCACAGGTTTTGCGGATTTTCCCCCATATCTCCTCTAGCGGCGGGTATATCTGCGCCTGAAAGAGAAGGATTGGCATGATGTAGTTATTGACGACTATAACTCTCGCCGCCGTCAGCAGGTGTTGACTCTCCCACTTCGCCAACTCCTTCCTTCCCCTCTCCCATGCCTTCTCCCAGGAGGGCGCAGGGTCTCCGTCTGGCGTCACCCAAACACCGAGCAGCCGCTCCGGGACTCCGGTCTCCGCCCACTTGAAAGTAACGGCTGGCAGCGACGTTCTGCCCTTGTTCCTCCCCATCGGCATAACTATCGACTTGTCTCTGTTGATGCGCAGGCCCGACAGCTCCCCGAACCAGTCCAGAGCTTCCGCCGCTGAGTGCAGCTGCGCCTCGCCATGGAGGATCAGCGAAGTATCGTCCGCGTACCCCACGTATGACAACGCTTCACCGCCCACCGCCCTGACTCCCAGATCCCGCCTCTTGATCTCTGCGCAGAGCGGCTTCAGGGCGCAGAGAAAAAGGTAAGGCGCTAGAGGGCATCCTTGCCTTACTCCCCTCTGCATCTCCACCCGTTCACCTAACCAGCCATTGATAGCCATTCTCGTCCCGGCCCCCGCGTGCAGGCCTTCCGCCCACTTAACGAACTGCGCCGGCAACCCGAGCTTCTCCAAGGTTTTGAAGAGGAAAGGTCTCGACACCGTGTCGTATGCCTTTTGAAAATCAACCAACAGGAGGTACCAATCATCTCCGTCATTGTCGGCTACCTCTATCGCATCAGCCACCACTGCAACCGCATCCGCCAGGCTGCGACCCGGTATGAAACCATGTTGTTCTTTCGAAATTATATGATGTAGCTCCTGCTTCAGTCTGTTCGCCAACACCTTCGCCAGGACCTTGTACACCGTTGTGAGGAGCGTGATCGGCCTGTAGTTTGACAGCAGGTCATTTTCCCCCTTCTTGTGCAGCAGAACCGTCACCGCCGTCGTCAACGATTCCGGCAGCCTTCCCGTTGATTCAAGCCTCTGACAAACTTCATGAACCAATCCCCCAACAGGTCCCAGTGGGTCTTGAAGAGTTATGCAGGGAGACCATCTTGTCCCGGCGATTTACCCTTCGGCAACCCAGCGAGCGCCGCTTTAACCTCCGGCTCCGACCACGGGGCCCCAAGCCTTAACACCGCCTCCGCCGGCAACACCCGGTCCACCTTGAAATCATCGCGCATCATCTGCGGTCCCGCTCGTGCTTCCATGAAGGCTTCTGCGAAGTGCGCCAACGCTGCCTTAAGTACCGCTTGTGATCCTCTGCAGAGTTCCCCCTTGTACCGCACCTCCTCTATCAAGGTACGTTCTTTCCTCATCTTGACCTTGGCCGACAGGTAGGGAGATGGGATCTCCCCTTGCAGTTCTGCTGTCAGGCCCACAAAAACCTCCAACCTCTCTCGTTCATTCTCGCGATAGGCCTCCAGCTGCTCTTCTCTGGTCAGCAGCAGCGCTTTTGCCTTGTCATCCGACGGCCCCCCCATGACTAGATGCCGCATCCGTTCAACTTCCTCCGTGAGGTGCAGCTGCGTCGCCGCCACCCGTTTCCTTTCTTCCTTCTCATACGCTCTCAACCCGACCGTCAGCTTTGATATCATATTCTCCAGGGACTCCCGACCCGACCGGCTGAGCGCCTTCTTAATCGACTGAATAACTTTCCGCACCCCCTACCTTTTCCTCCGTGTTGCGTGAAATCTCCAAAGCCCCGGCCCGTAGGCATGCTCCGACACGAACTTCAACCGAATCTTGATGGCGAACCAGTGATCCGACAAGCTTCTCGGCACCTCCACGTGGCGGGCCCCCTCCAGATTGCCGAGCAGTGACATCGACACCAACGCCCTGTCAATGCGGGACTTCGTTTGCGTTGACTTCACCAGGAAAGTGTACTCTCGCTCCGTGGGATGCAACGCGCGGAAAGCGTCGCGCAGATCGTACCCCTGCCAGGCGTCAAGAAACCTCTGATTCTCCCTTCCCGACCCTGAACCTGATGACCTATCCAGGTCCGGATCCGTGATCATGTTCAGGTCACCCACCACCACCAGGTGCCTAGACTGCGGTTGCGCTTGTATGAACTGCTGAAGATTATCCCTATGAAATTTCGCCCTGTTACAGGCCTGCGCTGGGAGGTATGCCGCGACTAACCTGAACGGCTCCTCCCCCCCTTCCACTGTGACTCCCAAAAGTCTCCCAGATGGATCTGACACCACCTCAGTAAAACGGATGCGCCTGCTGAAGGTCATGACAGCGACCCCTCCCGCCGCCTGACTCGGCCCAACCGCAGCCCACGCACTCGGTTTGATCTCGCTCCAGAAATTGTGGTCCTCCTTAATCCTAGTATCCGATAGCACCATAATGTCAGCTGCCGTACGTAGCCAGCGTCTGTTCTTGGTTCGTTTGCCGCAGCCGCCGAGGCCATTCACATTGACCCCGCAGATGGTGAGTATTGGTTTGTTACCCATTTATCCACTTGAAAAGGAGCCCCTCGCATCCACGGGCTTTATTAAAAATGATACACCGTACATTGCCTCCTGCTGACACTACTACCACCCCTTCATGTCCTGCAGATCCTGACGACATATCCAGGTGCGGCGCCAGCCGACCAGTCACACCCCATAATCCTTCCTGACTTGCGCCAGATTCTGCTTCCCCTTGCTCAGACGTGTTGCAGCTCCCGCCTTGAGCAGCCCGTTGCCGTGGCGAACAGACTGCACGTGCTCTACCGCCTTCTCGAAACTGGCACCATGGGCCTTCCCGCAGTCTTCCTGAGCACACAACCACTCCTCTCGGACTCCTCCGGTGGAGATGAAGGCTATCGCCGGGTCTGCTAGCAGGGTCTTCACTGCCGATGATAGCTTCATAGAAGCCGCTGCTCGGGGGGAGGATGAGACATAGGTGAGCTGGGAGACCTGCAGCTGCAGCGTCCTGCAACAAAAGGTGAGAATAAAATCTGTTACCGTTGATCTCATGAGCACGCTGCAGCGGCAGATTCCAGTTTCCGATGTTATTCTGCCACATAGTCATCATGAAAGCACGACATATGCATCTCGTTGCAGTAATCACACGTTAGAGCAGGAAACGACACCAGCAACTCGATTCCGTGGACGCGGTCAGCGACCTTGTGCCACCACTTATACTTATCCCCCGGTTGCCTGAAAACCAGACCCTTAATCTTGTCTGTGTCTGACCCTGAGACCGGATCCAGCACACGATGAAAGGCGGAACCGTCGAGGAAAGTCGTACGACCTCGCTTCAACAGCATCGCCGACACCAGGTTTTTCTTGATCATTGACGGTGAGATCACCGCCGGTACCCCCTTAAGCAGCACTTCAATCGCATCCGGACGAGCCGCTCTCTCCCTCAAGTAGTCCTTATTTTCCGGGTGCTGCCAGCCAAGCGTGAGCTTCTTCTCATTCACCGTGAAATGTTCGATCTCCCTGCTTCGCATGAAAACCACATCAGCCTCCTGCTGGAAAACCACTTAAATGCGACCAAAATGTTGCTTGGAGAGGAAGGTCGCCGTAAGTTGCTGACACCGCGTTGTAGTCCCCGCATTCTCCGACATGTGTTTCCCCCACATCTTCACCAGGTGCTTGACCGTGCCGATGATACACGGGATCTCCTTACTCCATGCAAAAGGGACCAGCAGCGCAATCGCCACCCCTGCTTGTGCCGCGATCTCATTCAGCACCGCAGGGTCCTGGCACTCGTCCGGATCATCGCTGAGGTAACCATCCTCATCTTCAGCGTCAGTGGCCTTGGCCTTGCCATTGTTAAGCACTCCGTCACCAGCCGATGAGCCAGCAGCCTTGACATCGTTGCCATTGACATTCACATTGTTCCCCTTCGACAGGTCGCGGATGCTCAACGCCGACGTACGAGCCGTCAGTTCGTTGATCCCCTCACCACCACGCGGAGCCAACGGCCCATTGAAAAGCGTCTTCGGAGTAACAGGCTCTGACGCAGCATCGAGGGGCTTCTTCTCTTGGAGCCCCGCAGCAGGAGCGTGCACCACGGAAGAGAATTCAGGAGGAGCCATAGTGCGATGATGATAACTGCGGCCGGTGGAAGAAAAGAGTAAGACTGCAGAAAAAGGCCTCGTAGGCAGGCTGAGCACTGGAAGCTCCACCCTGAACTTGTGCCTTCCTTTCCTCCAATGCCAGTATAAATAGCCATAGGAAATCCAGAAACGCGCCACGAGCACAGCGTCATTGTTAAGGACCGCGGATGGAACCCAGGAAACAACGCGAGCCTTGGGAAAGCCATTGTAAACTGAAACCTTGATAGTGCCTGACAATAAGTCTGAATGGTCAATGTCCGCTAGATGAACATAAAAAGTGTACCATCGGAAACCTAAAGCCATAAGGAGATCGAATCTAGGCTTCAATGAACAACCGATAAGAAATTGACTGTCATTGTCGCGTTCAAAGACCTCGGGATCAGCCATGGCGGCCTTGAGCTTGTCATTGTCATCAGAACAGATCGTGATTGATTGGGGTTGCACACTAGGAGCTGGTTCAAATTAAACGAACAATATACACCCTGTTTCTTGCTACACTGAACTGCGGAAACACACTGAAAAGTGGAACTGTTCCTTGGACGTATTCGAAAAGTTTACAATAACCTTCTCTAGGAGGCGGGTGATCCGAAATTTTGTTGTAACCTGGGAACCCTACCGAGCCGTATTAAAAGTTCAACCGACCGACCGTCTTCAAAGGTAGCTAACCTCGTCAAACCGAACTAGTGCAAAAGTTGACTATAGCGCGTATTTTGGCGCGTTGAGCCACAGGGTTCAGTATACCGGCATTCACAATATCGAAAAACAGGGTGCACGAACACTCTGAAGCTTGTGCGAACGGCAATATCGATGGGAGGAATGACTTCGCCCAATTGTTCTTTTGAGATTTCCGACGCAATTCCTGGAGCCGAATCACCAATTCTATGTTAGAATGTAATTGTATACATTACTCCATAACTGCCTGTAGTGTACACTTAGCGTAGTTCTATATTCTTGTGTGGTGGTGCACCCACATGCTTGCCTATAACTTGTACCAAGTTCTAAAGTGCAACCCCTCTTTGCTTTGGCAAACCTCTCGTCATTCTCTTGTTCTACCCTAAACCCTAGCCATGGCTTCTTAGCCTTAGCTAGTATCTTTCACATGCTATCAGAGTGGTTCCGTTCTTAGGACCTTTCTCAATGGGCCCAACCTATGCTTCCGCTGCTGCTGTACTGTCTGTCGCGCGCCCCGTGGCGCGCGATGTTTTTTCTTCCCGCCACGCGCTCTGGGCGCGTGGCAGTTTTCTGCCCGCCATGCGCTCGGGGCGCGTGGCGGTTTCCTGCCCGCCGTGCGCCCCAAGCGCGCGCGGCGGTTTCGTGCTCCGTCCCGCGCGCTCCCTCCGTCATCCGTCGTGGCACCCCGGGGACCCGCGGGCTCCCCCCCGTCGTTCGTCGCGGCGCCCTCGTCGACCCGCGCGCCCGTCCCCGTCGACCAGCGCGCCCCTCCCGTGGACCCACGCGCCGCCCCCGGGGACCTCCGCGGCCGCCCCCGTCGACCCGCGAGCCCGTCCCCGTCGACCAGCGCGCCCCTCCCGTGGACCCACGCGCCGCCCCCGGGGACCTCCGCGGCCGCCCCCGTCGACCCGCGCGCAGCTCCTTGCACCCGTGCGCAGCCTCCTCCCCGCGTGGGAGCCGGGGGAGTGGAACTAGGGGGGTGTCGTGGGAGTGGAGCTAGGGGTGCAGCAGGGGGTGTGTGAAAGGGGTTTGGGACAATGGGGGAGGTTGAAGGGGGGTGGCCGCCATGAAGCCAGCAGCTCCAGTCGCCCGTGAGACCGTTGCGGCAGTCGCCCATGAGCCCGTCGCTCCAGTCGCCCGTGAGCCCGTTGCTCCAGTCGCCAGTGAGTCAGTTGCTCCTGCCGCTCATCTAGCCGCGGAGCTAGTTACTCCAGTTGCCCGTGTGCCAGTTGCTCCAGTTGCCAGTGTGCCAGTTGCTCCAGTTGCCGGTGTGCCAGTTGCTCCAGATGTGCCGTGTGCCAGCAGCTTCAGCCGCCGCCCACCACCTCCTCTCCTCTCATTGTCCCTCCTCCTCCTCACTTGCCCTCTCCTTCTGCTACGCTCTGCTTGGTGTATCCCTTCCGGGGGTGTTTCTGCACATGGTTCTTCACTGCAGGCAGTTAGGGGGTGTGTCAAAATGTAATTGTATATATTACTCTATAACTGCCTGTAGTGTAGACTTAGTGTAGTTCTATGTTCTTGTGTGGTGGTGCACCCTCATGCTTGCCTATAACTTGTACCAAGTTCTAGAGTGCAACCCCTCTTTGCTTTGGCAAACCTCTCGTCATTCTCTTGTTCTACCCTAAACCCTAGCCATGGCTTCTTAGCCTTAGCTAGTATCTTTCACATTCTAGTATCGGTACAGGTGTTTCGTTTATAGTCCGACGGAATGACACGTCGCGCGCGGATTATATGCGAAAACCTTCAAACCTCGGGCAAAACAAGATACTTATAGTCCCGTTCATGAAATTTGCATGCAGATGTAAGGAATTTTCTCGCCATTCCTTACTGCGACCGTCAACATCGCGTACAGCCGCAATCGTTGATCGCCCGTTACTACTAACGGGGCTTCGCCAACTTCGCGCGCACTGTTTCACCAAACCATGTACCACTGGCCCGGCTGAGTCGGCCTACGCTTCAGGACCAGCCCAAACCTTGGTGCCAGCCTAGCACTAACTAGTTCGCACACACCGCGTTACCGTTTGCATGTTTCGCGTATAAGTATTCGCTCATGCCTTCGCTCATACTTTGTACTCGTTTGACACCTAGTGCAATCCTCGCCATCTCGTTACATTGCACCCGTAACACTTGGTTATTAGAACCACTTTCTTTCGGTCCGCGCATCTCCGCACCCCAGGAAATCAACATTTGATTTTTCACTCAGAGGGACTCACGCCCCTTAGACCCTATGAGTCGCTGTCCTTGCGTTCCCTCGTAAACGCGTACAGCCACGACTGCGCCTAGACTAAGTCCAGCCGACGCCCTTCGACATGGACGAGCACGTCGACGTCACGACGCTCACGCAGGAGCGCCTCAACGAAATGCTGCAGCAACTTCGCGAGATCTCTGAAGAAATCGCGGCGCTGACAGCAGAACGCCAATCGCTACAAAATGACGTCGCACTAGCACAACAAGCACAATCGCAAACACCAAGCATACCGGGACAACCCCCACAGCAAGCATCGCAGCACGGAAGTGTGGGGCGACCCGCAAGCGCGGCCAGTGATGGCGTCATCGGCAACGACAGAGAAGACGACCACAGCGCGACACACCCCGAAGCGACGAATGTGGCCAGAAGCCAACCGCACGTCACGATTTCGATGCCGACCGACGAGTCAGCACTGCCGTTGCCGATGCCGCTGAAGCCGCAGCGTCCGCTATGCTTTGACCCGAGTCAACGGGGTGGTCCTACCGTTCAGGCGTGGTTGTTCACAATGAACGTTTTCTTCGACGCCAACTAAAGTCTCGAAGGATACAGCGAAGATTCGCCACGCCGTGTCGCTGCTGCGAGGGCCCGCCATGGATTGGTGGCGTGTCATTGTCACAAACCGACAGATTACGCGACTCTACCGACACGGGAAGGACAGACCGGACCCTGGGCGCCGTCGTATTTCGTGGAGGTGCCCAAATATCGCACGTGGGACGCGTGGCGTGCAGGTATGCATGCTCGATTCGAGCCAATTGTAGCTTCGGTCGCGGCGTGTCAGAAGCTCCGCACTTGGCGCCAACTCGGTTCCGTCCAAAATTACACCACCGGATTTCTGGCACTGTGTGAGCAGGTGGGCTACATGCACGATGTCGAAATTAGGAACGAAGAGTGTCTAGAAACACGGCAGTACAAGGTTTGTATATGCAAAACCTAGTCGGGCTGTACCCCTTGAGGAGTGCTCCACTACAGCCTAGAGCACAGTTCTGACACACCCCCATAGGCAAAGTGGGGGACAAGCAAGAGAACGAAGCAAGGTCAAGCTCAGGGTGGATCACAACGTCACCACACATTCTGAGCACAAGCAAATGGCCACAAGGCCAGTTCATATGCAGAGTTATCTATAAAGGAGAACAAGCACGATAGTGATCACAACCTAGCAAGTGTAAGCATGCAGGTATAAATATATAGATCACAGTACAAGCAAAGTCAAGAAGTGAGCAAGTGAGGCCAAGAAGGCACAAGACCTAGAACAGTACAGAACCGCTGATGATCACAAGGCTGAAGTGCCTTGGTGAAGATATCAGCAGTGTTGGCCTGAGAGGCCACGTAAACAAGACGAGGCTGACCACGCTGCTGCAACTCTCGAGCAAGGAAGAAACGCAGAGCGATGTGCTTAGTTCCGTGCTCCAGTCTGTGCTCCTGACACAAGGCAATCATGGCCTTGTTGTCGACGTACAGAACTGGAGGAGAACGAGGCGGCTCTCCCAAAACGGTCAGCAGGTAGGTGAGCCAGCGTAACTTCTGTGCAGCCATGGCCCCAGCGTAGATCTCAGCCTCACAGCTGGAGCTGAGAACAGAAGACGAGCGGGTAGACCGCCACGAAACAGAACCGGAGCCAAGGCTGAAGGTGTAACCCTGTGACGACCGCTGTGTAGCCAAGTCATCAACCCAAGAAGCGTCTGCGTAACCAGTGAGGACAACTGGATCCCGTCCTCCAAGCACGAGCCCCATGCCCGACGTACTGCACAAGTAGCGCATCTCCCTCATAGCGGCCTTCCAGTGCTCTGGTCGGTGTCTCCCGGGCGCAACGTAGCATACCAGGATGCTAATTCGGAAAGCAATGTCAGGACGAGTGTAGTTTATCAGGTACATGAGGCAGACGACAAGCTCTGGATATGGGACACTCGGCTCTAAGGACTTATCCGAAGGCAGAGCTGAGAGCGAGTGACCGGTAGGCAGACGATTGGCCTGTGGCGAGGAGTACTGGAAGTCGAAGCGCTGAAGGACCTGCTGCACCATGTGTGTGTCTAAAATGAACAAGGGTGAATGCACTAGGAAA